CACCCCTTCTAACATTATTCAGTCTTGGCCTTGGCCACAAAGCATACATAACACCACAACCCAAGTATCAATAGCTTGACACCTAACAACACTAGCTGATCCAATTCAAGATAATCCAATTATTCAAGACAACCAAATAAGAAATGCATTTCATATAAACTATAAAACTCTAAGCCTAACTTTCATACCTGATCTTATCTGCAGATCTTACAACAAGTTGCTTACTTTCTTGCATCTGATCGATTCGAACCTAATTTTCTGGATTTGCATGTGATCGATTCTGGCAATTACTTTACTTGTGGCCAAGTTGCTTGCAAATATAACACTTATTCATCCTCCGGGGAACCTCACAAGCTGATGGAATACGTTATACTCTTTTTCTCCTCTTTTCTGTCTTCTTGAATTGTGGATGGATGATAATGTCAACCAACTCTGGCGACACCACCCACTGCTCTTCTGGAGGAACTGGATATATCATTTCCGAATAAGCCAGCATGTAATGGTTTGCCATATAGAAAGGAGAGCAAAGTTCCATGTAAATTCTTGAACCAAAATCCAGCATTCGTTGGTGTTTCAGTGCTGCTAGTGCATGAGAACAAGGTAAAAGTTGAATGTCAAGCACTTTACAGCTGCAAGTTTTACTAAGAAGGCTAACTAGGGCCCTAGGACTATAACCGCGCACAGTGAACTCTTGAGAATTGAGAGGATAGGCAAACAGTGTATTTAACAGTTCCATATATTCTTGCAATAATTTTTCAGCTGACGGAACAAGGGTTGTGGTAAAATTATCTGACTCCGTACGACACTCATGGAACCACCGTGACAATGTCCTCTAGATTGCATCAAAAAGGGCAACTATTGAGAACTCTCTTTCTATTAACAACTTCAAATTTATGGACTCGGCTATGTTCGTGGTCATGACATCTAACCTTCTTCCAGGAAAGTAAGCTCTACTCTATCGCTTGAAACCAACATCATGCTCAAGATACTTAGCAATTCTATCATCCTTGATTCGGATTTGCCGGAAGTGCTCCTCAAACTCATCAACTCGATAAGTTTTTGCTGCCATGTAGTATGTCTGAAGGAAGCCAGCACACTTAAACTTTTGTTTTATGTTTTGCCAAGGTGCCTCATACAGAATCCATGATGTGCTTGAAGGTAAATAGTGGTAATCCCCTTCTTTATAGAGTTGTGCCTATCAGATATTATGCACAACTCGTCACTGTTAGACATTATCGTAAGTAATTGCTGGAAAAACCAAGTCCATGACTTGTCGTTCTTAGAGTCAACCACATACCATGCAACAGGATATGTGTGATTCTCGCTATCGTGTGCAATGACCACCAACAATGTATCTCCATACTTTCTCATAAAAAAACAACCATCAACAGCCAACACCTTTCTCATGTTTACAAAACCCCTTATAGTAGCACTGTAAGCAACAAAAAAAATTTAAACCTTATATTCTTGTCCCACTTCAAAGCCGTCTTGCTACCTTAGTTTGTTAACTCAAGCATATAACAATATGTTTCTAATACTGCGTATCTGTGCTTCGGCATGCCCCTCACAAAATCTTATGCATGTTGTCTCCCCTTTCCAGCATTTCCAGTAACTAACAGCACATCCCAACTCTGTACACACAAGTCTCTGAATGTCCTTAGGAGATAGACCTTTTCCTTCAACAAACTGACTTTTGACAAATTATCCAATAATATCAGTGGAGGCTTGTCGATGCTCGCTTGAAATATGTCCCAACCCACATGTGTGCTCATGGGTATATGTGCTAACAATAAATTTTTCAGACTCCGCCAACCTTCTACAATAAACCCGCCACTTGCACTTTCGGTCACGACATGCAACCGTTACTACCGATGAATTAGACTTTTCGGTGATGAACTCAAAATTACCTCTCACAGCAACAAGTTTTAGCTTCCTCACCACTTCCTCCTTGCTGTCAAATAAATGACCTATGTGTAAGTCTGATCCATTAGTAAAAACGCGAGCTGATTTACTACTACCCGCAATTGCCGGCTCTGAACCTGTATAAACGACCATAGTGTTCTCTTCCTCACAAACTACATATTTTGCATAATCTGTATTTATAGGAATCTATACATCTACGGGAACATGTACGGGGTCCTCCTCGTCCACATTTTCATTCTGCCCCATACGACCAACCTCTTCTACAGTGTCCTTCTGACCACCCAAATCACCGCCTACTCTTGATTTTTCAACAAAGAAAAAAATGCCCTCGTAGTTAAAATTAAAACCAGCATTCTCCCCACCCAAATCACCGCTTACTCATGAACCAACTTCCAAAGCTTTATCCACAATCGAAACCATTAAAATCGGCCTCGAACTATTATCGCTCACATTAAGCATAAATAACTTCACATCTTCATCAGACATTAATACAATAAGGGGTACCTTAAAATTTTCAGGAGCTCTGCTTAAAACATACTTCACAACTATATCACTACGTGAGCAACTCAACCCACCTCTTCTAATGATTTTATCAATCAACTCATCAAAACTAACTTCTATACTCATAGCAATTGCTTTAACTTGTTTGCTCTTCCTAATCCACTTTCAACAACTTTCTTCCTCCACCCACTCACCAAAATATTTAACACCAAAAACCACTTGTCCCATGTCTAATAATAGCCAAGTACCTATAATGCAAGAAAACAAAAATTATTAACTGATATATTAAGGGTTGATATATTTTAAAAAACATCTCTGGAGTCGCTTAAGCGATGTGGTGTATCGCTTAAGTGATCTGGTATATCACCTACTGGATCGCTTAAGCGGTCTAATATAAATAAGCTTGATCGCTTAAGCGATCTTATACCATATACCTGATCGCTTAAGCGATCAGATCTTCTGCCATAAACCTGATCGCTTAAGCGATTTTCCATCTGCTACATTAAACTAGACATATCAGATCGCTTAAGCGATCTTGTATCGCTTAAGTGATCCATCAGATCCAGAACACATTTTCAGTCATCTTCATCTACAATCGGTGCTACCACCCCTAGCTACCCACAATGCAAGAAAATATTCAACAAATTTCACTCTTTTAAACTTGCATTACATCAAACAAAACCCAACAACCTAAACAACTAAATCAAAATCATAACCCAAACCCAATCCATCATTAAATCTTTGTAAATCGAAATCTAAAATGCAAAGAGGAGATACACATACTTGGACGAAATGTCAGGAGGAGGAGGAGGGGGATCTTTGGCGGAGAAGATGTTAATGGCGAAGGAAGAAGAAAGTGTTAATGGCGGAGGAAGAAGAAGATGTAGAGGAAAGAGGAAGGAGGAAGAAGAAAATGTAGATGAAGAAGAAGATGGAGACAAAGCTTAGAAGAAACAGCAACTAGGGGAGGTGCGTTAATGGCGGGAGGAAGAAGAAGAAGGTGTTTGGGTTTGTTTGCAAGAATTTTGGTTTTTTGAGGACATATTGTAATTTTTAAAAGATTACACAATACTTTATTAATCCTAATTAATCACTAATCATGTTTAATTAACCTTAATTAATAATAAGGCGATTTACTTAACACTTTAAAACTACATGACCTTTTAATTAAATTTGAACTTTATTTGGTCTTTTAATAAAATGCCCCCTTAGTAGGAGCTAGGTAGCTTTATTGACAAAAAAATTATTTATTTATAATGAAAAAGAAAGTGAAACCACGTAACATACCAAACTTGAGATGCTGTTTTAATAGTTAGTTTTATTTATAGAAATTTTATCTATTTATAATGAAAAAGAAAGTGAAACCCCTTGACAGAAAATATATAATAAAATAATAATTAAAAAAATTAATTTATATTAATTAAGATAATAAATGAAGTTTGAAATTTAATATAGTTTAATTTTTATATATAAAAAAAAGCTTAAATTTATTAAAATAAATATTAGAACTTCAAGTTTCAAGATAAAACAATTCCTTTTGTCGTGTATCCACAAGTCTTAGATGTTTCAATTATCGATTCCAGTATTAAATGAAAGGTTACATCTATGAATTTTGTATTGCAAATCAATCCTACTACACTAGTACCGATAGACGACATAGGGGAAGAGGCGTTGCGCCTATGAATCAACAACACGAAAACTTTGTTATAAATTACCTTACTTCTTTTCCATTTTTGTTTTTGTTTTTAAGTTATTTATCTTCTCATTGATCCTTTTCCCATCTCTTTTATTTTCACAGGCAAAATATAACCATAATTAGCATTTGATAGAATCAATTCTCTTTGAGACATATTACCGCAAAGCATATAAATTAGAGCCATTCAATCGATTATTCTAATTTTTAAAAGATAATTTACTTGGGAATTATTAATTGAAGAATTAACCAAGAATTGATATTCTTATTCTTGAAGATAATTTGATGCAAAATATAATCTGTAAATGTTCTCTACTAAGATTATATGGGCATCTACATTATTAACATTCATTATATATTATTCTTCCATGACAAGTTATTCCTTATGCGGAACGGTCGTTGGTATACGCTCAGAACTCCGACGCATAATCCATGGCGTCGACATTCATGATAGACAAGCCAATATTTCGATGGTGTTTCTCTACACAATCTGCCTGCTTAAGAGGAATATCACTACCCCAACGAATTGGCAACGCCACCATATTAGATTTATATGCTAACGCTAGAATGGTGTTTGTGTATTGTAAGTGCATCGACACTAGGTCCCGATGTCGGGCCTATGTGTTAGTGTAAAGCAATTTTCCGATAATGATATTACTTTATCTCTCTTGTGAACATTCATATTTATTTTTTTCAATTTTTATATAATATTAATCAAAAAATTTCTGATCAATTGAAAAATATAGGGAAAAGGATAGAAACATACATAAATCAGGAGCAATATATATATATATATATATATATATATTTCATCAGTTAAACTAATCTTATTTCTCTCATAAATTTCATTATTGTTCAAAATGGAAGTACATTAATTTATACATCAGGGTTCTTTCTCATGAGAGAGTCGATCAATGATATTCATAGCTACACCAGAGAGCTGTGCATAAATCCTCATCTTATTAAGAACATCATCAGGAACTTTCGATTTATAGCTTTGAATTTTCAAACCACAAGAAACCATTCGACTGTTAATAAGAGCCGAGACGACGATGTGATTAGCCTCATCATAATCGCCTTTCTTCAGTTCATCCATTGCCGATGTTAACTTCGTCTTCGCTTGATGGTAACACTTGCTGCAATCCTCACAAGTGCCCTTAAAATTCTTGTCTTCTGACACAGAAGAAGCCAGTGTTGACATGTTGCCTTTCAAGATCTCTGCGTCGTCACTTAGACAAGCCACGAGCATGGTGGCGATAGTTTCAGGTTTGTCGGCTTTCTTGGTTGCTTCTGGGTCGGATTTTATGCACTGAAGGCATGTTTCCGGGGCGTCAGTTTGTCGACATTGTTGCTCGATCAATGCGTCGTCTGCATTGGCGAGATTCTGAGGGTGGAGAAAGAAGGTTGGAGAAAGAGTAAGAAGAAGAAGAAGAAGATAACGGAGATTGAGGACAATGGCCATGGCTGCAGCTAGGTTGTTGCTTTGTTTTGGCATATTATATAGTGTGAAATTTGAGTAACGCTTGTTTAGTGATGAGTATTATGATTGGGCAATGCATATAACTGCAGTTACATTGTTTTCTTTTTTGTCCTTTTCATGAAAAACAAGTAGATGCTCTTCTGCTCAATACCTAATTAAGTTAATCTACAACAAATGTTTGCGTTCTGTTCAGTTTCTTTATTCTCCCAAGGAGGCCCTTGCATGCATAGTTCAAACTCAATATTGTACAAGTATGTGCCAGCTGAATACTATAATAAAATTATCAAACAGTGACAGAATTACTGGTCATGCAGCTGTGCTTGGCACTAAAGCTATGAATCGCCAAATTTTAGACCACAGTTTGGCAGATGACCTAAGTTTAATCCATGAAACCTTCCTCCTTTCAGGACTTCCTATAATGTTGTCTCAACCTCAACAAGGGGGAAAAAGGAGAGTTTAATTAGTATATGAATAAGCAAGAATTTAGTCATCAAACCGTGGAGAAATTAATTAAGAGCAAAATGAAGTGGGGTTTAATTAAACATTTTAACAGGGGTAATTACTTCTTTCACCACCTACCAAATAATTAAGTAAATAATGCCGCTTTAAATAGAAAATGACAAATTCCCACCCGGCGTAATTAAGTTTAACTTATAGAATGGTAAATTCAATTTATTTTTATTAAAAAAAAAAAAAAAATTGCCTAACCCCTTTTATCTTTCTTCCCCACCCCACTGCCTCAATTCCCAAATAAACATTCATCGACGGTTGTATGTTTATTTGTGAATTCTGGAAATTGGGTTGTATTGTCTCATTCCTGAATGGAATTCTAGGATTTTTTTTTTAAAATTGTTTTTGACATTCAAAGTTTGGAGAACAAGCCACAGGAGACTTAAAGAATGGAGACGAACAAAAGCCATTGAGCCTTGCGCAAACCAAGAGAACATCACATGGAGAATTTGAAAGTTTGTTTCTTCTCAGTTTTTTATTGCTTCATGATTGATTGATGGTATGTGTGTTTAGTGTTAGTGTGATTAAATTGTTTAATGAATTATTGATTTGGGTTGGAGGTGTTTGAAATTTGTGGCGATGGTGATGGCTGTATTTGGTGGTTCTTGTGTAAATTTCCAACGGCCAAAGTATGAAGCAAAGCCATCATGAAAAGCTGGTTTCAGCAAGCTTTTCACAACGGCTAAGCTCGCTTTTTGCTGTTGAAGCCGTGTGGCACCAGATCTGACTCGGTATTGTGTCGACAAACGAAAATGAGCAATAATCTAGGCCTGCCAGGTACGAATCAGTCGAAATTGCACCCAGTGGGTGCGATTAGGCCGAAATTGCAACCGGCCTTTGCGATTCGGCCAAATCAACGCCGATCTGGCCATCAAAGGACTCCCGTTTTCACCATCCCTTCTTCAGTCCCATCAATTTCCCAAACAATTCAATACACAAAACACAACCCATTGTCCCAAATAACAACAATATAACAAAACAAAGGATGTAAGTTAATCGCTATTTGATTTTCACTCTGCTTGGGTATTCAAGAAAATTGGGGGTGGAAGATTTTGGAGCGGTGAGGTGGGAAAGAAAGATAAAAGAGTTTGAACTTAGGGTTTCTGTTAACTTTTTTTTTTTAAGTTTATATGTAGAGAGTAAAATGACATAATTACCATTATTTTTTTTAATTTACTTCAGTTAACAACAGATCTTAACGATGGGTGAAAATTATTTTTCTCAAATATTTTGGGTGAATTACGTCAAACCTTGGGTGGGAAATTGTCATTCCCCCTCTTAAATATCCCAAACATACCATATAAAAGTTTTAAATATAAAATTCCCTAACGTGGAATGTTTTTTCCTATTGGCTGCATGCGTAAAAGTTTGGTTTTTGTTAATCTTTAAGTAGTAAAATTGACTAATAATTTTCTTTCTTTAGAATAAAGACAAAAACGTCAAACTAATTGTCGTGTTAGAATCTTTTTATAATAAGTCTCTCATGTTAATGTTTGTACTTGGGATATTCCAATAATTATTCTATAATATACTAAGGGATTCAATGTACTAATCCTATCGAGAACCCTATTTCCTTTGTATGTATATAGATTAAGATAATAAATGAGAAATGAAATAAATATACTATAATTTTTCTTCCAATAACCCGGTCTAATATAAATAAGCTTGATCGCTTAAGCGATCTTATACCATATACCTGATCGCTTAAGCGATCAGATCTTCTGCCATAAACCTGATCGCTTAAGCGATTTTCCATCTGCTACATTAAACTAGACATATCAGATCGCTTAAGCGATCTTGTATCGCTTAAGTGATCCATCAGATCCAGAACACATTTTCAGTCATCTTCATCTACAATCGGTGCTACCACCCCTAGCTACCCACAATGCAAGAAAATATTCAACAAATTTCACTCTTTTAAACTTGCATTACATCAAACAAAACCCAACAACCTAAACAACTAAATCAAAATCATAACCCAAACCCAATCCATCATTAAATCTTTGTAAATCGAAATCTAAAATGCAAAGAGGAGATACACATACTTGGACGAAATGTCAGGAGGAGGAGGAGGGGGATCTTTGGCGGAGAAGATGTTAATGGCGAAGGAAGAAGAAAGTGTTAATGGCGGAGGAAGAAGAAGATGTAGAGGAAAGAGGAAGGAGGAAGAAGAAAATGTAGATGAAGAAGAAGATGGAGACAAAGCTTAGAAGAAACAGCAACTAGGGGAGGTGCGTTAATGGCGGGAGGAAGAAGAAGAAGGTGTTTGGGTTTGTTTGCAAGAATTTTGGTTTTTTGAGGACATATTGTAATTTTTAAAAGATTACACAATACTTTATTAATCCTAATTAATCACTAATCATGTTTAATTAACCTTAATTAATAATAAGGCGATTTACTTAACACTTTAAAACTACATGACCTTTTAATTAAATTTGAACTTTATTTGGTCTTTTAATAAAATGCCCCCTTAGTAGGAGCTAGGTAGCTTTATTGACAAAAAAATTATTTATTTATAATGAAAAAGAAAGTGAAACCACGTAACATACCAAACTTGAGATGCTGTTTTAATAGTTAGTTTTATTTATAGAAATTTTATCTATTTATAATGAAAAAGAAAGTGAAACCCCTTGACAGAAAATATATAATAAAATAATAATTAAAAAAATTAATTTATATTAATTAAGATAATAAATGAAGTTTGAAATTTAATATAGTTTAATTTTTATATATAAAAAAAAGCTTAAATTTATTAAAATAAATATTAGAACTTCAAGTTTCAAGATAAAACAATTCCTTTTGTCGTGTATCCACAAGTCTTAGATGTTTCAATTATCGATTCCAGTATTAAATGAAAGGTTACATCTATGAATTTTGTATTGCAAATCAATCCTACTACACTAGTACCGATAGACGACATAGGGGAAGAGGCGTTGCGCCTATGAATCAACAACACGAAAACTTTGTTATAAATTACCTTACTTCTTTTCCATTTTTGTTTTTGTTTTTAAGTTATTTATCTTCTCATTGATCCTTTTCCCATCTCTTTTATTTTCACAGGCAAAATATAACCATAATTAGCATTTGATAGAATCAATTCTCTTTGAGACATATTACCGCAAAGCATATAAATTAGAGCCATTCAATCGATTATTCTAATTTTTAAAAGATAATTTACTTGGGAATTATTAATTGAAGAATTAACCAAGAATTGATATTCTTATTCTTGAAGATAATTTGATGCAAAATATAATCTGTAAATGTTCTCTACTAAGATTATATGGGCATCTACATTATTAACATTCATTATATATTATTCTTCCATGACAAGTTATTCCTTATGCGGAACGGTCGTTGGTATACGCTCAGAACTCCGACGCATAATCCATGGCGTCGACATTCATGATAGACAAGCCAATATTTCGATGGTGTTTCTCTACACAATCTGCCTGCTTAAGAGGAATATCACTACCCCAACGAATTGGCAACGCCACCATATTAGATTTATATGCTAACGCTAGAATGGTGTTTGTGTATTGTAAGTGCATCGACACTAGGTCCCGATGTCGGGCCTATGTGTTAGTGTAAAGCAATTTTCCGATAATGATATTACTTTATCTCTCTTGTGAACATTCATATTTATTTTTTTCAATTTTTATATAATATTAATCAAAAAATTTCTGATCAATTGAAAAATATAGGGAAAAGGATAGAAACATACATAAATCAGGAGCAATATATATATATATATATATATATATATTTCATCAGTTAAACTAATCTTATTTCTCTCATAAATTTCATTATTGTTCAAAATGGAAGTACATTAATTTATACATCAGGGTTCTTTCTCATGAGAGAGTCGATCAATGATATTCATAGCTACACCAGAGAGCTGTGCATAAATCCTCATCTTATTAAGAACATCATCAGGAACTTTCGATTTATAGCTTTGAATTTTCAAACCACAAGAAACCATTCGACTGTTAATAAGAGCCGAGACGACGATGTGATTAGCCTCATCATAATCGCCTTTCTTCAGTTCATCCATTGCCGATGTTAACTTCGTCTTCGCTTGATGGTAACACTTGCTGCAATCCTCACAAGTGCCCTTAAAATTCTTGTCTTCTGACACAGAAGAAGCCAGTGTTGACATGTTGCCTTTCAAGATCTCTGCGTCGTCACTTAGACAAGCCACGAGCATGGTGGCGATAGTTTCAGGTTTGTCGGCTTTCTTGGTTGCTTCTGGGTCGGATTTTATGCACTGAAGGCATGTTTCCGGGGCGTCAGTTTGTCGACATTGTTGCTCGATCAATGCGTCGTCTGCATTGGCGAGATTCTGAGGGTGGAGAAAGAAGGTTGGAGAAAGAGTAAGAAGAAGAAGAAGAAGATAACGGAGATTGAGGACAATGGCCATGGCTGCAGCTAGGTTGTTGCTTTGTTTTGGCATATTATATAGTGTGAAATTTGAG